CGGGTCCATTCCTCATGTTCGCATCGCACTGGTTAGCGTGGTCTTCGTGTGGTAAAAAACTATGGGGTCCAAATTACGTATCACCGTTCTATGTGATCTGATAGGGTCATGTAAACGGTACGTTTCCATAACATGGAGTATGATGGATGACGCTTGGTCGACTGTGGTCTGTTTTCTATGTACTTGGCACAATCCGGCCAGATACAAGTGAGACTGTGCCGACTGATAAATTTGGAATAAGAGTGAAGTGTTTTTCACTATTAATAAAGGCAACGGAGCCGTATTTGCCACAAGAACACACCTTTTTTGGTATGGCTCGGCTTTTCTGGGGATTTTTGCCTTCTGTACGCCATGCTGAGTTTACTTGGTGGTTCCAGAAGGCCGATTTCATCTACTCCCAGTGGGATCACCCAACAAGCCCGAAATATCTATTTTATTCGTACTCTTCAGCAGTCGGAGGTAGAATAACTTTATGCTTCGCCCATGAATGACTACCGGATACCATGTGTTGTGGAAACTATCTGCTGTGTTCAATAGAGTCAGCTGAATAAACTTGTCAGATTCAGATGGCAAAATTAACCCAGTGGATCTGAATAGCAGAAAACAGACCGACAGTGCATAAGTTAACACTTACCCGTTTGAATATAATTTACCCATTAAGCATCTGTTTTTTGCGTGCAGATGAACTATGGTGTACTGTCATGAAGGCTGGGAGAATTCGGCTATTTTATACCGGTTTCCTTCGTTATGGCTCTCCCTTCGAAATTATCATTTTATTTCCCGTTAACTACTGCCCGAAATTAAATACATCCAGATGATAGAGCCAATAGAACAACGAATCAGAATGTTTCCTCATAATTTGATACAGTGATGTTCAGGTTAAATTCCTTCACTCATCTGAATATGTAAAGTCTACTTATCCACACACCCCTTGTCATCTCTTCGGTAGTACTAGGGAATGTGGCTTGCCCAGCTCCTTCTTTCAGAAGAAAAATCGTCAATCACTGAAAGATAGAACAGGCACTCGTTGATACTTGGAGCGATACAATCGCTTGGCGAAAATCATAAGCTGACGAGGACAGTAAGTGCACAGTTAGATTCTTCTCACTTCGAGGAAATAGCTCAACTTTGTGCAAGCAAACGGATAATAAATACTTAACTTTCATGTTCACATTAGAACTTTTTTCAAGAAGAATTGTGTAGAAAATTAACCATACAAGACGTACCCTCAGCCAAAACTTGTGACAGGAGGTGAGCAATGACTAGCAGCATCAGATGCATCTTTTGCCCAGCACAAATGAAGTAACTTTGGTGGGTTTTTATATTTTCACAGGTTGGAAACTCGCCACAGTACAGTCGTTCGAAAATCTTCTTTTCATACAGCCTTTTGGCCCACCAGACCAGACATCATTCCTGACTAGGTCACATGCAAGTGGTGTGAAAATCTAGCCAATGGAATGTGCAGCTTATTTCCTTTAATCGTTCTCTATTCTATCAGCCGACCAACTCACAAGCAGGTGAATCAAAAGAGAACAGGAAATATTTTTCAAAGCTTTAGGGTAATCACCCACCATAAAAAGCTACGGTGTTTTTTCTCCACAGGAGCTGTCCCAAAAGGGCAGGACCCAAAACCTATTTGTCGCACGATTTTTTTGGCCATCAATTAAAGCAAAAATATTGTCAAATAAGTATAAATCAAGTGAACATCGGGTTACTTCGGTTTGGAGGCTTGTACTCCTGGTCAGACTCATTAAAATATCATTTTGGATGTCTGAAGTGTTCCGTGATTTGATTTGGCAGGCGCGTACTTCAGATAAAATTTTGCGGGCCGCTGTATTAACTATATTGGTCGACTGATGAAGATCTTACTCCCAGTTTCGATAGCACATCGGACCATTTTACAGCGACAGATCGTGCTTCTCAATTTAGACAATCACGAATTCATTCCGTTCCCAACACTAGTCTTAGTGGCTGTAGAAAGATCGAGAAGGAAAAAAAAACAAGATAATTTACAAATGAGTGTACTTCGCTGATTTCGTGCAGTTCGGTTTCTAGTAGAACATAAGGTTGGAAACTCATGGGTTTCGCCTACCTGATGAGCCCCAAGAAGGNAACCGGTCGTGGGCTGTCGACAAACCTTCAGCCACCGTATGAGTAGTGTATTACGAATATACATGTATCGCGATATCTCGAATGTCGTAGTGACTGAAACATGAGGTGGCCTGGTGCAGCATATTCAGTTGCCTGGAAACATCAAAACCTAGAGATTCAGCTGGGTTCTAGGTGAGTCTCTCGGAAAAAAACACATTCGTTTGCAAATTAGTGTATTTCGCTAAAGCTAAGAGGTCATTTTAAGGTTTTGCGGAAGGTCATCGAATACTTTTTTCACCAATACTCCAGGCCAGATGTGTGAGACTGAACAATCATTGGTCCCCGGTCGAAAAGTTCAATCAAAATTTAGTTTCAGAATTTGCAAAAACAAAACTACGATCAACTGACATAGAGAAAGTGCAGGGCTGAATTACAAAACTGCTGCAGGTCGCCTTCTGACTGATCGGAGGCACAGTCGTGTTTCCTGGCATTTTTGCTCTGACACTTCTATGAAGCATTTTTCTATACTCGAGAAATATACTCATTTGCAAATCAGTTCAGATTGCAGGGCTGAACTACAAAACTGCTGCAGGTTGCCTTCTGACTGATCGGAGGTACAGTCGTGTTTCCTGGCAATTTTGCTCTGACACTTCTATAAAGCATTTTGCTATACTCGAGAAATACACTCATTTGCAAATCAGTTTGGTTTTCACGGGACATCTCGAATATCGTGCCAACTGAATCATGAGGCCACCCGTGTGCAGCGCATTCAGTTGGTGGACACCATAAACGAGAGATTCAATTGAGTCTCTCGTGAAAACCAAATTGATTTGCAAATAAGTGTATTTCTCGAAAAAAAAGTCCCATTTGGGTTCAAGTAGAACATACGGTTGATGAAAACTCGGGGACTGCGCCTACCTGATGAGCCCCAAGAGGGGCGAAACCGATCGTGGGCTATCGAACAGTTTTCAGCAACCTTGTGAGTAGTTTCATTTTGCTATACATTCAGTGATGAACCTGTCACCGCTTATTTCCTGGAAAACTACTAAGTCAATTCCAAAACCGCGGACATTACACCCGAAACTAATTTTTGCGCAGACTTTCAACCACTGACTATTTATTTCTTTTCGGCGAAAAAATATATTTGTTAAAAATCATCCTTGATGGCGTTGATGGCTTGGCAGTGCAGGCCTTGGTCACGTGTTAAAATTTTATTTTAGGATGCTTCTGTTCTTTAAAGAATGAAATACGGCGGAGTCCGGGCCGTTATTCTAAAAATATCTGCAAGAATTTGCAGTAACCACCCTTGATGTAAACGATGTTGACAGGAATCTGAATAGCATTTTATCTCCGTGGTGAAGCGGTGTACGAGCGAGCTTTCAATGTTATTTGAAGGTTTTTTGTCTTTTAAAGTGAATGACGCTCCGTCTAAGTGTCGAAGCAGTAACATTTCTTTGAATTCCTCGCTAAGCTCCCACCAAGTGTGACGACAAAACCACTCCAAAGTTTCTGCGCATTCGAGATATACAACCTGAAATTAATAATTGGGGCTTCCAATAAAAAATTGCCATTTCACTCTGACAAGCTTCTTTTCACTGTTTCCAGTTTTCTGCATATTGACATTCCGGAACTTCTGCGAAGGCCTCAGTATACATTACACGGACTGTAAATTTTTTCTGAAGGTAAAACTTATTTTCTTGGTTGAGAGACCATCTCAACAGTCCAGGCGTTTACATTTTGCATGGTATCTATCTGTTTAGACTTTACATCTTGACCTCATAAACACATATAGGAGGAAGTGAAAATCGCGGAAAAATTACTCACACTGACATAAATTCCCTTATAAACTTGCATTTACTGCGTTCAATAGGTCAACATATCTAGAACTTGGGGCCCAAGTCGAAACAGCAAGAGTAAACACTGACCATCGAAAAGTTGGTTCCGTCGGTCAAGTGACGTGTTTTATGGATGGTGTAAGCAGTCAGGACAAACCGCTGTCTCTTGATTGGATTTGTGCTTACTGCGAGATTTCGTTTTACTGAACAGTCATCCTTTCGAACTTTGTTAATCACCTGAAATACATTCCTTGACACGATCAGCTCTCATGTTTTGGGTTATTGCGCTTCTAGCTAACAAATTTCTTGCAAGGTAAGGTCAAAATGGGTCATGAATAAGTCCTTAGAGGTAGAGGGGTAGTCAGGCACGACAGCCTATTTAGAATGAAATTCTTCCGAGCTTATGAAAACTCAACAGGAATTATCTACTACGTTGCAAATACAAAAAGAAGCAGATCATACTCGGGTCTTGGAGTCACCTCTAGACTTATTAGTTGAACCATCACAATTATTCAGACTGCAGAAGTCTGCAATTATTCTGAACAAACGAAGACATTTTAAGAATAGCCATATGAGTCCCATCCTCATAAAGAGATGACCAAATTGTTCATCTCCTTAGATCTCGTATGACACACAAGGATTATGGGAAATCTGAAAAAAAAACATCCACAAGAAACCAAAAGGCATCACTATTGTTTCATATTACTCACTGATTCATCCTAATACAACATTTGCTAATATTGGTTCAACATAAAATCCCTGTAAGAGCAAAGAAGTGCAAGAACAAATTCTACCGCAAGCAGAGGGTTACCTGGATCGAAATCAGTTTAATCATCCTCAACCTGGAACAAAGCAGTTGCGGCACATACTTATGTGTACAGGTTAACAAGCTGTAAACGAAAGTCTATCATGAATTGAAAGATAGTAGAACCTACCCACAAGGTTGCTGAAAACTGTTCGATAGCCCACGGCCGGTTTCTTCCTGCTTGGGGCTCATCAGGTAGGCGCAGTCCCCGAGTTTTCATCAACCTTATGTCCTACTTGAACCCAAATTGAACTTTTTTCGAGAAGTAGACTCATTTGCAAATCAATTTGGTTTTTACGAGAGACTCAAATGAATCTCTGGTTTATGGTATTCTACAACTGAATGTGCTGCACATGGGCTGCCTCATATTTCAGTTGGCAAGGAGGGCGAAACCGGGTGTGGGCTGTGGAAAGGTTTTCAGCAACCTTACGAGTAGTTTCCTTTATGAAAATATACTGCGATCTCTTGAATATCGTGCCAACTGAATCATGAGGCGGCCTGTGTGCAGCACATTTTGTTGTAGAATATCATAAACCGTAGATTCAGTCGAGTTTCTCATGAAAACCAAATTGATTTGCAAATGAGTATATTTCTCGAAAGCAGAACCTAGTTTTTCACCCTGACCCATCCACCTTACGAAACAGCTGAACACAACTGTTAAATGACATTCAACATTGATTTGATCTGCCCTGAAAATTAGCTAGTATGGCTACTTGGTTCGATGACATTGGGTGCGAAAATTCGAGGCGTTCTTTAATTATAAACCCACCAACTGCCTATTTTCTTTTCAAACCATAACCATTATCAAATGATTCCGCCGGGAATTTGCACCCAGGACTCGCTGATAAAGTTTATTTTGCTGTACCTTGTACTAGAGTCGATCGATTAGTACTCGCTTTATTTGCATACAGTCAAAAAAACGCTTAAACAACTATTTACGGTAGGTGATCACTTGAGAGGTTTGGGCAAAAAACTGAATTCAGTTGTGGTGTCACTAGCTTGACAATTATAAGCACTTTTCTCTCGATAGCTTTGACGCGTCCACAACATATTTATGAGTGGAATAAACACAGTTGTCCTATATATCTAGACATATGGTGGCAAAACTGGGCAAATGGCAAAAATTGTAACTGATCGAGATAGATAGGTGGACCAAAAAAGGCATTTATTTTTTCCTCCGGCCTAGGCCTTTTCAATACGAACCAATCAGCGACCGCCAAAACAATCAGCTGGCAAAGCATCTATCCATATGGCTAACCGGAGTCAGTGTGGACTATTAACCGATTCCGCACATGCCTGTATAATCTAACGGAACCCAATTAGGTGGGGAAATATCACAGCTGCATATCATAAATCGTTTGAACTTTCCTTAGAACCAAGTGAACAAGACAAAGGAATGACAAATAGGAGTAGTGTTAAAGGAGTTGGAGTGAACACTACCACTCGTCTCACACAGCAGCCCGCATTTCCTTTCAACAGATGTTACCCAACTCTCTGAAATGTAAGGAGTTTGTTACAGGGCCCACAATTCTTAAATTTATGGGAGCCAGAGAATTTGAAGCAAATGCCTTTCGAAGGTCCACAGGAGATTGTATTGGCCCAATGTTGAATCTACTTCGTTAGTAACACATAGTAGAGCACTCGATTATCGAAAACTTGCATGAGATCAAGTCCGAAGTAAACAAACAAACAATCAGTGAACAGACAAATGAGTTTTTCTTTTTACCCACTAAGTTCAGTAGGTTTCATTCTACTGAATGTTCCACTTCTCTTTCACTTTCTGAGAACCACAGTTTTCAAATGCTTTTCGCTGTAAATCTTTGGATCCTCTGCTCACTTTACTTCAACAGTGATCACCGCTTAACTGCTTACAGGTATGTCTGCTTAGTATAGTGGGAACTCACTGACTTAACGTTGTACAGGTCTTCTTACCTTCGCAAAGTGATAAGAGTAGGCATCCGAAAAGCTCTAGACTACTGACTTCCTATGTAGTTTTCATCTGAAAAAAACCAACCTGGCCGAAAACATCCACAGGTACAGCCGTCCTTCTCACGTATGAAATCTCATGCACTCAAACTGTTAGGCTGCTAGGGAGACCACTGAAAACGCCGTCTAATTAGACGTCGTTTTTGACGAAGAAAGCACGCATTACAGGACTGGACGTCGTTTTTATGACGATTTGACGAAGAAAGCACGCATTACAGGACTGAACTACGTAATAGCACTTTTAAACAGTCTCTCAATATTTAAAGTGGTGGAACTAGTTCTTTATTTAAATTTTAAAGGAGACCAGCACAAGACTGTAAGAATAGGCAGACGGCGCAACTAACATCCTTAATGTCTCCACCAGAGTTGCGATACAGTTGTCTTTTCTAAAACGAGGTCTTACTTGGACATCTGTGCGTTGCCTAGGAAGGGTGAGGGATCTGAAATTGCGGACCACATTCAGTAACTTTGTATTGTTTAGTCCGACATGGACACCTGGTCCATTGTCAAGGTGAGTGGGTAGGATTCACTGTTACACTATGGTTGAAGCTGAACAATCGTCCTAGTCTGCCCATGATTTGGAGTCCTCAAAAAGAATCCTAAGCCTTTCCTTTTTGAAATAATTGGACCGATATTCACTTTTGGTCATAAAACAAAGAATTTTGAATTGCGCTATTCATAAGGTTGCTGAAAACTCCTCGACCGGTTTCGCCCTTCTTGGGGCTCATCAGGTAGGCGCAGTCCCCGAGTTTCCGTCAACCCTATGTTCTACTTGAAAACAAATTGCACGAAATTAGCAAATATACACTGATTTGCTACTCCTCAAGGAGTTTCCGGCGACCTAATGAGTAGTGCATTACAAAACATATACATATCGCGATATCTCGAAAATCGTAACGAATAACTCCTCGAGGAGTTTCCGGCGACCTAATGGGTAGTGCATTACAAAACATATACGTATCGCGATATCTCGAAAATCGTAACGAATGAAAAATGAAGCGGCCTGGTGAAGCACACTCAGTCACCCGGAAACATCACAACCGAGAGATTAAGCTGGGTTCCAGGTGAGTCTCTCAATAAACCAAAGTAGTTTGCAAATGAGTGTATATTCGCAAAGAATTTTGATTTTTAAAGCATTTCTTCTCATTCACGATGGATCGGTTTTCATTTACGAATGAATCATGCGGAAAAACTGTTGGTCCGCATTAAACTGAGTGAACAGTGGGTTGTAACATGAAGTTTTTTCGACTAATTGTGAAACAGAGTATTTTAGCTGCAAATCACTTCAATGGTGTTTTCGAGCGTTTCCCTCAAACCGATACTGACAGTGTTGCATAACTGTCTGAAAGAGCCAGAAAGAAGTATTTTGGTGGCATGAACTGAAAAAATTTATTCGCCCAGGAATGTGAAGACGAATGACCTTGGCCTGAGATCATCGTATCGCAAAGTTGCCTGATGTCGAAAACCTTCACATAAGCCGTTTATGATTCGCTGGAATTTTCCATCGTACGATGCCCGTTTGACTAAAAAGCTTGACAGATAAGGTAGACTTCCGATGGCAACGACTATTAGTCGGTCATTAGATTGATACCAGACAGTGTAGGGTAATTGTCCAACAGTCTATGGGTTGTGCGTTGTTTCGACTGCTGTCGAAATGAATCCAAAGCTTTTGTGCAAAGAGAACGTCATATCGAGAACCACAAAGGCAAATTGGGTTAGCTTTGTCCCTTAGAAATCAATTAGCAAAAAGCGAATAAATAATAACAACCACACGAACTGTCCCAAAATTGAGGACAGCTAAAACACTTTATGCTCTCATCAGTTCAATCCAGCTTCGCCTCGGTGCCTGATGTGAGGCTAAACTGGGTCCAAGCACTCCCTGATGCAGCAAATATACAAACCCTTTTGTGATGTTGAACCTTTGTGTAGCTGATCATCTATCAATCTAGTATGCTCCAAAAAACATCAGGCTGGGCTCAAATCTTCACACTGGTAGTCTCAAAAGTGAGTCAAGACAGGGTGCTTTTCTGTTGAAGAACGCTCCTAATTGTGAATGATGGTTAGGACGAATCTATCAACAGAACCCATTCCAAATTCCAAAATTACGAGTCATTGGCTTTGATGCTTCTCGTAACGCAAAGAAATGCTGAACGACCGTGACGTGTTCATACCAGCAAGACAGAGTGGTCCACTGTTGTAGATTTTGCCTTTGATACTGAAGTCTACATATCAGCTGGGAAGGCATATGAAAAATACTGAGATTTCAAGAATTCTTCCATTGAAGCGATTGATTTTGGATCCTAGGTACCTCACAGCTTAAGAAATGATGGCAGGCTAGTGTGCTGTTTTGCACTGATTAGACTTATCATTCGGTCCAATGTATTAAAGCCATTCGGGAGTACACTCGGGGGACAAGCACATTTAAATCCATAGCTGGGTTGGAGAAACTAAGAGGGACGTTTAATATCGACGTGGTACTCTGTATGGTGATTGGTTGCTTAGGGTGTCAAGTAAGGTTCCAACGATCTTGAAAATGTTGAATGACTTGCAAGTGCCTTTCTATTCTTTACAATCCTAAAATATACAGTTAAAACTAGTCATCCCTTCAAAAGTAGCCTTCTAATAACATACAGAAGGAATACTGCCGATGGATTCAACATAATTTCAGCTGGAAACGAATTGGCCTGTAGAGTTTATCGCACATATATTGGAGTAGTGTTGCAGAACCGCTTTGAGCTGGGTGTTCTACCCGCTAGAACTGTCGGTGGTACGTAGCAGTAAAGAAACAGTGGCTATGATAAGGATGAACGCATGTGGAACTTTGATTCATTTCGATACAAGTCGTTCATCACTTTGGAGTTCGACTACGCGTTTATAGCTCTTGTGTGGGGAATCTCAACCTTCCAAGTAGGAGAGCACGGGTTAACAGCGTCACCAGAATGACCACACCATAAGTCATAAACCGACAAAGAACACTCTTTTTGATTTCTCAAGAGCCTGATTTCTTGCTAAGTCTGTTTCGCCTCTCTACTTTTGGAAGAATGCAATCTTGCCTGCTTGAGGCACGTTTTTGATCTTATAGGGGCGTCTTGCTTCTAGAGGCGTCTAGAAAATGATAGAGTTCAGAAGGATTCAGTATGTTGACGAGAATTTCTGTGGTTTTCCTAATAGAGTCACCTTCTGAAAGCTACAGGAAATATATCCTACCACCTTCTAAAAGTAATTTATGACAGGAAGCCGTGTCGGCTGGTAAGCAGTACATAATTAGTCATGACCAGTGGCAGTCTTTGATCTCTCTATCCAAGTGTGACTGCTGCACATTCTATCTTTCATCTTTACTTCGTTCGCTGTCACAAGAGAGATTGGGAGTGAAAATTTAGAAAGGGAGAAAACCAACACACGTTAAATGATCCTGCTGTAAACGATTGTTCAGAGCTTCCTACCGAGGTCTGGTTAATGAGAAGATTCACTAGTCTAAAGCATAAGTTGACTAAAATACCAACAAGTGAGTTGATGTAGAATCCGGGGAACACTTTATTTGGAACCTTGAAACTGAACAGGATTCATAAGCCAGGGTGTTTGAATTCAATCCCAATGAAAAAACTGTATTTGCTGATTTCTGATCCGAAGAGTTGTTCAAGTGCACCTACGTTCTATAACCTCAAAAAATATATTCTCTAAAAGGTTCACCTTCGGCTCGGAAGGAATAAGGTGAGCTATAGAGAGACCACCTGGTGGACTACTAAAAATACTTTTCATAGATGTACTCTCTCATAGATGGAGCCCAAACTTTGGAAGAAGTCTCCAGAGACTATCCAAAATCAACATGTTCTGATGGGTGATATTTTTCCTGCCCTAAAAAATGTTTTAAGGTTGGTAATATATAGAAATATTGGTAGCTCGGGTGAGTTTAGTGGTGGTGGTCGTTGTCCTGTTCGATGAGCTTGGCAAGTGATTCGCAAACGCCTCGTCATCAATGCACAGTTGGTGGATACTGTGTGCGTTTGCGTGGCATTTGAGTACTATCTGTTGTCTCTCAGCATGATTGGCCTTTTGGGTGACGGCGTTTTTCGTGAATCCATAGGTTCGTTCATGGTCTTGGTTGCGTTATGGTTACTTGGAGTTGATTGGCTATCCTGATTCATTCCACTTTTAGTGGTTTCTTCCCTCGTTTTGGCTTGCCTCCTCGATTTACATTGCGTTGTCGTCTGTTACCCTCAAAATTGATTGGTTGGTTGCATCGCCCTATTTCCTCCATTGTAATGATAGGTGTCCCGGCTTCCGCTGGCTAATTTAGAATTTTAGTTTATTAACTGGGTACCCTCTCTAATCAAACTGGTGTCTGTTCAAATCGGGTCATCCTGATTTTCCTATGGGTTCCTCGTCAGGTTGTTTGTGCAGCTCAGTTCTCTATGTTTGTGGCGATCTCTTGCTCCTCGTGGTTGTTAAATAGGGTTACCTTTGATTTGTTTGTTGATAACTCCTTCGGTGGAGTATCATGCCTTCCTGGTCCTCGCTCAAACCAGTATGCGAATACCGCCCCAGTCGAACTCTTGTCCTTCCTAATCTTTGTAAACGGAAACGAAAGAAAATTAATCGTGCCTGGCTCGAGCTGGCTGTTTGGCTCATTTATTATGCAAATCAACTTCCCCGTATCAGACTGATCACCAGCACCGGCTACGTTACG